CGTTCATCTTTACCTCGATCCTGACTAGTCTCCCAGTCCCTGCCGCTGAAAAACATCCCCACAGCATGATGCTGCCACCACCATATTTCACCGTAGGGATGGTGCCAGGTGCCAGAGAATCTTGTTTCTCATGGTCTGAGAATCTTTAGGTGCCTTTTGGCAAACTCCAGGCGCACTGTCATGTGCCCTTTACTGAGGAGTGGCTTCCCTCTGGCCACTCTACCATAAAGGCCTGATTGGTGGAGTGCTGCCAAGATGGTTGTCCTTCTGGAAGGTTCTCCCATCTCCACAGAGGAACTCTAGAGCTCTGTCAGTGTGAGCATCGGGTTCTTGGTCACCTCCCTGACCAAGGCCCTTCTCCCCCAATTGCTCAGTTTGGCCGGGCGGCCAGCTCTAGGACGAGTCTTGGTAGTTCCAAACTTCTTCCATTTAAGAATGATGGAGGCCACTGTGTTCTTGGGGACCTTCAATGCTGCAGAAATGTTTTGGGTACCCTTCCCAAGATCTGTGCCTCGCACAATCCTGTCTCTGAGCTCTACGGACAATTCCTTCGACCTCATAGCTTGGTTTTTGTTCTGACATGCACTGTCAACTGTCGGACCTTATATAGACCACAGGTGGACTCCAATCGAGTTGTAGAAACATCTCAAGGATGATCAATGGAAACAGGATGCACCTGAGCTCAATCTCGAGTCTCAAAGCAAAGGGTCTGAATACTTATGTAAATAATGTATTTCTGTTTTTTATTTCTAATACATTTGCTACAATTTTTACAAATCTGTTTTCGCTTTGTCAAACAGGTTTTTAGAAATTGTAGCAAATGTATTAAAAATAAAAATCAGAAATACATTATTTACATACAGTGAGGGAAAAAAGTATTTGATCCCCTGCTGATTTTGTACGTTTGCCCACTGACAAAGACATGATCAGTCTATAATTTTAATGGTAGGTTTATTTGAACAGTGACAGACAGAATAACAACAAAAAAATCCAGAAAAACACATGTCAAAAATGTTATAAATTGATTTGCATTTTAATGAGGGAAATAATTATTTGACCCCTTTGCAAAACATGACTTAGTACTTGGTGTCAAAACCCTTGTTGGCAATCACAGAGGTCAGACGTTTCTTGTAGTTGGCCACCAGGTGTGCACACATCTCAGGAGGGATTTTGTTCCACTCCTCTTTGCAGATCTTCTCCAAGTCATTAAGGTTTCGAGGCTGACGTTTGGCAACTCGAAACTTCAGCTCCCTCCACAGATTTTCTATGGGATTAAGGTCTGGAAACTGGCTAGGCCACTCCAGGACCTTAATGTGCTTTCTTGAGCAGGGGGACCTTGCGGGCGCTGCAGGATTTCAGTCCTTCATGGCGTAGTGTGTTACCAATTGTTTTCTTGGTGACTATGGTCCCAGCTGCCTTGAGATCATTGACAATATCCTCCTGTGTAGTTCTGGGCTGATTCCTCGCCGTTCTCATGATCATTGCAAGTCCACGAGGTGAGATCTTGCATGGAGCCCCAGGCTGAGGGAGATTGACAGTTCTTTTGTGTTTCTTCCATTTGCGAATAATCACACCAACTGTTGTCACCTTCTCACCAAGCTGCTTGGCGATGGTCTTGTAGCCCATTCCAGCCTTGTGTAGGTCTACAATCTTGTCCCTGACATCCTTGGAGAGCTCTTTGGTCTTGGCCATGGTGGAGAGTTTGGAATCTGATTGATTGATTGCTTCTGTGGACAGGTGTCTTTTATACAGGTAACAAGCTGAGATTAGGAGCACTCCCTTTAAGAGTGTGCTCCTAATCTCAGCTCGTTACCTGTATAAAAGACACCTGGGAGCCAGAAATCTTTCTGATTGAGAGGGGGTCAAATACTTATTTCCCTCATTAAAATGCAAATCAATTTATAACATTTTTTACATGCGTTTTTCTGGATTATTTTGTTGTTATTCTGTCTCTCACTGTTCAAATAAACCTACCATTAAAAGTATAGACTGATAATTTCTTTGTCAGTGGGCAAACGTACAAAATCAGTAGGGGATCAAATACTTTTTTCCCTCACTGTAAGTATTCAGACCCTTTGCTATGAGACTTGAAATTGAGCTCAGGTGCATCCTGTTTCCATTGATCATCCTTGAGATGTTTCTCCAACTTGATTGGAGTCCACCTGTGGTCAATTCAATTGATTCCATTTAAGAATGATGGAGGCCACTGTGTTCTTGGGGACCTTCAATGCTGCAGAAATGTTATGGGGCATTGTGTGTAGATTGCTGAGGATCTGAAATATATTATTTATTTAATCTATTTTAGATTAAGGCTGTAACGTAACAAAATGTGGAAAAAGTCAAGGGGTCTGAATACTTTCCGAAGGCACTGCCTCGCTAATGTTCTTTCATTGTGTCTTTTATTGTTACTATTTTATTTTGATCCTTTTGTTAATTTTCTCACTTTTTAACTGCATTGTTGGGAAAGGGCTAGTAAGTAAGCATTTCACGGTAAAGTCTACACTTGTTGTATTTGGCGCATGTGACAAATAAAAATGTTTGACATTTCCAGAGTCATTTACCGGAGTTATAGCTATTGCCATTCTAACTCAGTTATGCCTCAACCGCTCCTCTTCCAGATAAGCACTACATCATTTAAGGACATTATATACATACTGCCAGTTCTTGTATGATATTTACAATGCCATTTGCTGAGTTTCTATACGTATTGCACGTGTTGTTGTGTATCGTATTGCAGTATCACCATTTCACAACCGTTCTATTGAGAACTACGCTACATATCTCGTCTCTAGCACCGGAGCATTGTGACACTGACGTTGACCACCAGAAGAGTCTGATGGTCCCACCATGGAGAGTCCTCCTCCTACTTTGCTCTCATGTGAAGGGTGAATGGTGACACGTCATTTAAACAACAACAACAACGTGAGGCCAAGTTGGGCTGAAGGTGTAGCCTGATTGGAGGGCCCTCGGAGGACCTGGCGTGGGTCGGCTGACTCACCTGACAGGAACGAGGTGGAGGGAGGGAGAGAGGGGAGGGGTAGGAAGGAGCGACAGTAGAGTAGGGAGGGGGAGGCAAGAGTAAAGGAGGGAGGAAGGTGAGGGGAGGGGGGGTAGAGAGGGATGGGACAGGAGGGAGGGGAGGGGAGGGAGGAGGAAGGGGGGAGGTATAGAGGGGGGAGGGGAGTAACAGAGGGAGAGATGGGACAGGAGGAGGGGAGGGGGGGAGGGGGGGAGGAGGAGGAGGGGAGAGGGGGAGGGTAGCGAGAGGGGAGGGAGGGGACAGGGGAGAGCTGGGACAGGAGGGTGGGGAGGGAGGAGGAGGGGAGGGTTAGGAGGGAGGGGAGGGACAGAGGGAGGCTGGGACAGGGGGTGGGGAGGGAGGAGGAGGGGGAGGGTTAGAGAGGGGAGGGACAGAGGGACAGAGGGAGAGATGGGACAGGAGGGAGGGGAGGGGTGAGGAGGGGGGAGGGGAGGGACAGAGGGAGGGATGGGACGGGAGGGAGGGGAGGGGAGGGGTAGGGAGGAAGATGTGGAGGGTATGGAAGGGTGGCATCAACTCAGCACCTGCAGACTCTCTACCTACCATGCTTCACCATGTTGTGGCCATGCCTCCATACTGCATGGCTGGCTAGGGGTCTGGTAGAGGGGTGTGTTGTGGCCATGCCTCTACTGCATGGCTGGCTAGGGGTCTGGTAGAGGGGTGTGTTGTGGCCATGCCTCCATACTGCATGGCTGGCTAGGGGTCTGGTAGAGGGGTGTGTTGTCCGCTGGCATGGTAAGTTCTGAGAGGAGGCAGGTTGTTTGGTATTCTGTGTGTGTTCCTGTGTCAGGGTGAGAGAGATTGTAGAGGTGAACCACAGTCAGACAGACAGCTCCCTGTGACCTTGTGACTGACTGACAGACTACTCCTCAGTGAGCCCAGAACCTTCTTTTTTCCCCCCAAAAATTTTA